TGATCCTGAAATCTGTTTTTTGCATGTTTTTTATTATTTATTTAGAGTCAATTTGGAAAACCATTTAGTACTTTAAACAGAGATTAAATCTACATCTTCCCTTTTTTCCCCATTCACATTTGAATCAGTCATCTAACAAATACGCGAAATATTTCAGTAATCTTTCACATTATATTTTAGATTTCAGGTGTATGTAGTTAAGCATGTTTAGACAAAAAAAAAAATCGTTTTCAAGTATTTAGAACACATTAGTAAGGAAAATAGGAGACGCAGAAAAACGGTGACGGTCACTGCAAGCCCCAAGCGAATCCTGAAAATCCTCGTCGCACATGATTGAATGATTAAATTGTTGATTACCTTTTGCTACACGTCAATTGAAAAATATTTCATGCAAGTTCAAGACGAGAACAAAGTAACAATGAATACAATAAGTATGTACTGCAACAGAGGACGACCGGGATAATGGGCGGGCAATTTAGAATACCACTGGAAAATAGTGTAAATTTAGATTAAACCTTGCAACAGACAGGTCACCAACGGACCCGTTCAAAATTGTTAAAAGGGTTCCTAATACGTAGAAGGCGTGGCACTCACTTATATGAGGTATCGGATTTAATCCTTTTTTGCCCGATCATCGATGTCTTTAGTGGATACAATATCATGTGTTTGTATTTATATTGTAAAGATTTGTTTCTCACAGCTTAGAGGTTTTTAAATGATAAAAAATTCAAAATATGTATAACACTTTGTGTAAGTAATATTGATAAGTGGAACACGTACTTCGTTATGTTTATATACTATGCTGTAAAAGGGTGTTATGTTCTGTGTTATAAAAAAAATAAGAGTACAAGTTGAATATATTCTTCTATTGCCTCTCAATTTTTCAAAGTAATCTACGTTAAATGGTCAGTGCTGTATTATTATATCAGAAAATATATTGTCTATAAAAATAGGTTTCCTGTGATGTGCAACATTGAAACAGAAGGACTGTATCTTATGTATGAAACGTCGGTCAATTATATAAACTTATGAATAGATCTATGAATGTTTATACAATTATCATCTTGTATAAATGTTTTGTTTTGTTTTGTATTCATTAAACCAATGGGGTTTTCATGATGCAATAAAGTTATAAATAACATTTATAAATAAGTGCAATTTACTATTATATTAAGGTGGTACAAAACACCTTGACTAAAACTAATTTGGATCGTTTAACTTTCATAAAATTTTGACAAAATATTTACCTTGACCCTTTGATCAAAATATAAAAAATTCAAAAAACTTGAACCACACACTTTATCGGAAAAATTTCATTGGATATATAGCAGTTTGACAAACACTAATTTTGAGCATTAAGAAGCTTAATAGAACATGATTAAAACGTTCAGCTGATTTTCACAGAGTTATCACCCTGTAGTGTTATGCACCACCTTAAGTTTTTCTGGAAGATGCATGCATCATTTCAAGTTTTATAGTTCGTCATAAATTATTTAAAGAAAACTAAAGTGAAAATAAATTCAAAATAGTATTTTGAGTTTATTTGTTTGGCAATCCTTAAACTCTTTATAAAACAAAATCAATAAAAAAATCATAATTTATAAGATGAATGGAAAATCAAAATTTACATTTTTTTATAGGAATCAAATGCGATTTTTCAACTAAGTGGACAATCAAAATCATAAGTGGAAGAGGCACATACATACATACATAACGATAAAAAAGGACAAACAGAAAAACAAATGAAAAATACAGTTCATAAACAATGCCCCTAAACAAAACTTTTTGAGCGACATGAACACTGTGAACTAGTGCGCATCGGAGAGGCTCGTTTCTTGTCCACTTGTGGCACACATCATGTAACTTATGACAAATGAAACTGTAGGAATAATTTTATTGCATTTAATGATGTCAATAACGAAGATAGTAATAAGGGATTGTAGCAATGAGAAATGAAATAAACATAAATTCTCACATTTGGGACACAGGTATTCCGTAATATATCCATGTCATGTTGGTATCCGTAAAATATTCTGAGAGTGAAATCCTGTCTCTTTCTAATGAACATTTCCCGATTCTTTTTATGTACCTCCTTCAGTAGTTGAAACCATATTGTGTTCCGGTCTGTGCGTATGTCCATCCTTCCGTTTGTCTGTTAGGTATCATATTAAGGTTTCAGTTTGAGGTAGTTTACCATGAAGTTATGGTTACGTTTAATTGAAAATTAGTATATGTTAATTGTGATGTGAACGTTTCACAATAGCTACCAGAATATTACGTTGACAAATAATAAGACATAGAGTGGACGCAGTACAAAATAAGGTTAGCGTTTTGGATTAAGGTAGCTCCAACCACGAAGTCGTAGTCACGCCAAGTTAAGACAATTAATCATAATGAGGTGAACTTTTTTAGAATATATGACAAATTAATGTTTTGACCAAGGGAGTGGCTTAGTGTCAAATGGACACATGTTCTAGTTCACATATATTTCATGGTTCAAAACTAACAAGAATAAAAGCAACAATAAAAAATCAGATGTTAGCAACTATAAGTCACCATACGGGCTTCAATAATGAGCAAAAACTATACACCATAGCAAGTTCTACAACATGACAAAATGTAAAAAAAATCAGACAATGAAACCACTCAACAAATTGATTTATGTACGAAACAATAAACGAAAACACATATGATATAAATCAACAAACGACAACATATTAAATTATAAGCTTCTGATGGACTTATGACAGCCACATACAGAATGTATACATGTTAGAAGGCACCTAACCCTCCCCATAACCTGGGACAGTGGTGTAGCAGCATAACAAAAGAAAAATTATAAAAATCAGTTGAAAATGCCTTGACTCATCAGATCGTTACAAAGCACAAAAAAGTAAAAAAAAAAACACTTAAGATTGTAAGTATCGATCTGAGAGTACTCACAGTTACTGAAAGCTTGTCCAAAGCCAATATGCATTCATTCACCATTCACTTCCGATATCGCAGTTTACGGTACACCATTTCAATTTCTAAAACAGCGTCAATACTATGCGGTAAGTGTGTATACATTATTATTACATAGCAACTTGTAACACGTTGTCATGGCCTTACTGTGATTTTGAGATAAAGAACAACAATGACAGCTTTTGGTTTTGTCATACGACTATAAATGCAGAGGTTAATTGTTTAAATGTAGCTTATAGCTTAGTAAAAGAGATGTTATGAATTTTCTTTAAAAAAACAAAAAACAGAATGGAAATATCAACCACATTCTACATTTTACTAGAACATTTCTTTGAAAATCAAGCGTCTGTTTTATAATCATGTTCAACATTTCAAAAGTAACTTCATACAAAATCGGACTAATGCATCGACATTAGACTTAAAACAATTTCAATGCTTTTAGAACGCATTTATTTACTTTTGTTTTTGTACTCTATGGAAAAGCAGCAGTTGTCGTAGGTTACATAAGTACCATTTTAATGATATCAAAAGTGAAATCGATTTTTGAGTATACTCATAGGTGCAACTATTAAGCAACCGTTCATATAGACACAATAAACGAATGAGCTGAGTGTTAAGTCAGAGACCACAAGTTTTGAACTTTGCACTGCATCCAAAAATACCAAAGCATACTTTTGTTATTTTACTTTATATCTTTTCCTAGTATATGTTCTATTATACATGTACATATTCCTGTTCTTCTGATCATTGCTCTGACAACATTATGAAACTCTTATAGTAAGAAAAACCTAAAGCCAATAACGCTTAAACAATCTCTGGAGTGTAAAAAAACCTATTTGGATGTATCGCACAACCTATGTTCTTTTTACGTCAGTTTATAAATTGTCGTGTCCATGAACCAATCCCAACAAAACTTACTAATACCATTGTCTATAGGAGATTTTATTTCTTGTCTGTATCGAGTTTCTATAATGATTTTCCATGTATCGCTGTGTATACTTTATATGCAATTTTATATGCATTTAAATGTTTGTCTTCAATTACAGTTTTATTCTGTTATTGTTCTGTTTATGCATGATTTGGTGATTCATATATATAGCATGTTTCGCTTATATATATTTACTTTAATTATATATATTATCTTTAACTGTTAAAACCTGATTTGACCTTTTCTCGGTAGATTGCTCTGTGGTTAATTATAAACTTTTACACATCTATTTATTTGAAAGGATTTTCCCAACGTAAATGATCTGTGGTAATCAACTGGTCGTCTATGAATTTCTTTAATTTGATGATATTACACCTGGTGTTTCGGATATCATTTAGGTCAAGTTCGACCAAGGCCGTTCATCCTCGTCAGGTGCCCTGGCCTAATTAATTTTTATTTACTATAATAACATTTGATTTTAATTACTTTTTTAATTGTTATCAATATGTTTCTATCGTGTAACGTATCAAATGCAGTTACATTTTGGGGCACTTTTTATAAATAGTCGTGTCCATGAACCAATCCCAGCAAAACTTACTAATACCATTGTCTATAGGAGATTTTATTTCTTGTCTGTATCGAGTTTCTATAATGATTTTCCATGTATCGCTGTGTATACTTTATATGCAATTTTATATGCATTTAAATGTTTGTCTTCAATTACAGTTTTATTCTGTTATTGTTCTGTTTATGCATGATTTGGTGATTCATATATATAGCATGTTTCGCTTATATATATTTACTTTAATTATATATATTATCTTTAACTGTTAAAACCTGATTTGACATTTTCTCGGTAGATTGTTCTGTGGTTAATAAAACCTAAAGCCAATAACGCTTAAACAATCTCTGGAGTGTAAAAAAACGTATTTGGATGTATCGCACAACCTATGTTCTTTTTACGTCAGTAAGCCAATTTTTCTTTCGCACCACGAAATTCAAAATGTACTTATATGTATTTAACACAACATATGCATCAGGTGTAATCAGTAACATTTATCTTTTCCTCGAGTGTGACATCATTGCATGAGAATAATCAACGAATGTGTACATCTAGTGCCAAAATATATTCATTAACCTACATATATACCTTGAGTGTCTTCCCATGAAACGACAACTCAAAGACGTAGACAACTAACGATTGCTAAAATAAGGGAATTGTAAATCTATATATTGATAACAGAGTTTTCCAATAAGTAAAAGCTTTGTACTATATTTTGTTCTCAATTCAAAGACTCAAAAAATTATTTAGCGCTGCTCTCCCATGCATCTACTCTAAATTGGTTACTGTTGTTGTTTCTTTCAAAGCCAAACAGGAGAAACGCTTCGTCAATTCCTTTGTTTGGTGTTTCATCTGGTATTACTATTTCAAAGCAAATTTTATCTTCTACAAGACATACAATTTCTTTTAAATGAAGGTAAAGATGTTCACTAAAATTTGCGTCAGTATTTCCATAAACATCAAGGTTGTAGACCAATCCTTTGAAACTATAAGCATATGTTCCTATGGTTATTAATGCGTTGTTGGGTTGATGTAAACATGAAGCAACAGCCCTAGTCCTTTTATTCATTATTAAAGGGATATTGGAAGGATGTATTCGGTAAATCAACCAATATTTTAACAATCGGCCTCCTGGGAAAAGATGCCTGCATAGTATATACGAAGAAAATAATACTTTAAGATGGTTTATGTTAATAACATGCGCTGAAGTTGAATTTCTTTTGCTGAACATTAAACTGTCTGCAATCTTTTTGCTATTGGTCAGGTATTGATCCGTTTTCTAAAAAATTAAATATGTATCTAAAGTACGTTTTAAAATAGTGAAAAATATGTAATTCTTTTTGTTATCTATATTTACAACAAACTTATCTTATTTTTTAACAATCAATACAAAAATTGGAAATGATCAGTGATATAAAATCGTTCTTTTTTAATGACAAGTTGTAGTCGAAAATATTAATTTATTCATAATTCATGCGAGAAAAGATATTGATTAGATTTTTGATACTAGTAGTTAAACTAAAAAATATCTATGAGTAACAATCATACGAACACAAATAATCGCTTCTTATGAAACATTTTCGAGAATCTTTACATACGATAACACTGCCGTGCTGAAGACACTGGTTTTAAGTACCTCAAATTATATATTATAGTTTTGTTTCAGGAGGTTGTAATAGCATAGTTAACAAGTGAAATTTATGACCTAAAATCATGTTAACAATACCAATAGCTGAACGTGCCTAAACAAATTTATTTTTAGAGCGAGAATATTCTGAACTTTCATAATTATGTGTCGTTACTTACTTTCTTGTTTAAATATTGATCAATTGTGTGTTTTAGTTTTACGACACATGGTCTAGATAGGCACATTGGGAGGTTTGTGCTCACGGAGATCTGGTTTTTCCCAAATCGCATTTTTTGCCTGTAACAAAATAGCGGAAAATACCAACAACACCATTACCAAAAAATACGAAAAACGCCGAAAAAATCAAACAGTTTACAAAATATTACATAGAAACAGAAAGACTGAACAACACGTGCTCGGAGATGGGGAAACAAACCCTGCTCCATATGTGGCACCAGTAGTGCTATTCATGGTACCTAACAAAAGAGGCTATCTGATTTTTTTATTTGTCTTTGTATGTCTGTCTTTATATGAGTTAGGTGTTGGTTATTGTAATGGTGTTTGTACTGTGTGGAATTTTTTCGACAAATATTATGATTTCACCAACCTTGAAAAAAGGATACCACGGATGCAATTAAATCTGCTTCATAACTCAACTTACATCTCGAAACTGACAAATAGTATGTCAAGCCGTTTTACTATTTATTCGAACTTCAAGATATCTCATTTAATATATACGATATCTTATATAATTTATAAAATATGTTATATAAAATATAACATATTTTATATAATATATAAGATATCTCATAATCTTTATTAAATATCTAATAAAGTTTATAGAAAGTGATATCTTATAAACTTTTTTTACATAAGATATCTCATATAGTTTAAAAGATATCTCATACATATTATAAGATATCTTATAAATTATATGAGATATCTTATATACTATGTCAGACATATTATTAACCATAGAAGATATCTTATAAACTTTAAAAGATATCTTATAAACTATAGAAGATATCTTAAAAACTATAGAAGATATATTCTAAACTATAGAAGATATCTTCCTAACTTTATAAAATATCTAATAAACTATATGAGATATCTAATATAATATCTAAGATATGCAATATAATCTATTTTTTTTATATTATATGAGACATCTTCTAAAGTTTATAAAATATCAGATATCTTATAAATATCTTTTATAGAAGATATCTTATATACTTTATAAGATATCTCATATATTTTATAAGATATCTTATATATTTTATAATATATCTTACATAGTTTACAAGATATCTCATATAGTTTATAAGATATCTCATATAATTTAATTTGTCTTTCATTTTTCATTTCACTTTTAATATTCGAGTTCCAGTAGGATCTGACAACTTTAAGATTTTTTCACCGTGATTAAAACAAATACGGACAGTGGCTTAATAGAGATTTCCAATAAAATGACTTTACTTGACATAACCGACCTAACTCAACGTATTTCGTCCTATTGCATTGAAGCATGACGGAGGGGAGCATACACTGCATGCACTTTTTGCTTTTTGAACACGCATTTTTTGCTGATATAGACTTAAAGTAAAAATCAATCCCAACTACTTTTTTAAATCTTTAAATATTTTGTTATTAAATTTTGAATGATTTTATTGACAAAAATATTTTAATGGAATACTTAAGCTATCAACTTGTAATCAAATACACCCATCATTTCTTGTCATTTCACTTGACCCATATTTCAGTTTTTCTCAAAATGTGAATTTTAAAAACTACCAAATAAAAATTTAGCATGAAAATATTAAAATAATGAAATTCGAAGCGAGAAGTTTAACTCTTTTTTTTTTTGTTTTTATAAGTTTTAACGTTTAAAAAGTAGATTCCAACACACCCGAATGTAAAAGGTGTACGCGACTAAATTTAAAAAAAAATTCTATAATTTAATTCAAGATAATTTGACAGAAATTTATATCATTGATACATTTTTTAGTCTTCATAATGCATGGGACGAGGTTTTTGTCCATGTATACCTAAACGTACATTCGCAGATACAGGGGTAGAGGGCGTATCGATCGCCAAATAATTTTGAAAATCTCACGTTTTCCACGTTATCTATACAAATGTTTAGTATAAAATCGTCTAATGTTTTTTCGCGTTGCTCCGCTCGGCAGTATAAATTCAATTATCGGGAACTATGCCCTCTTTCAAATATCTTGGATTCGGCTATAATAACAAATTGTATGGCCCCAAAAAAAAAATAAAATGATTATCGTTTGACTTTGATAAATACGTTTTAAAAACAACAATGTTTGAACATTAATTTAGACATTTCGCACGAGATTTAAAAGTTTAAGACTACAAACTGAATTGGATTTGTTCCTGGATTTAGAGCTCACTTAACACGGAAATGTGATACTGTCGTGTAATCTAATGGACACATATTCTCGTTTCTGATGTTTCTTTTAATATAAATATTCATTTATTTGGCTATATATAATTCCACTAACAAATAATCATGTATCTTTTACTGATACATTATCATTACATTTTATAGAAACTACATATAATCTGCTAAACAGTTATGAACACCAATGGTCCTAGAGACACTCTGTGCTTTTGACATGACACAAGGTCTTGCTTTTCTAGAGTGTTTATGTACTTTTTTACTTAATTTGTGATATGTACAAAAAAGAAGATGTAGTATGATTGCCAATTCGACAACTCTTCACAAGAGACCAAATGACAGAGAAATAACAACTGTAGGCCAACCGTACGACCTTCAACAATGAGCAAAGCCCATACCGAATAGTCAGCTATAAGAGGCCACAAAATGACAAATTTAAAACAACTACAAATGTAAAACAACTACAACTATAAAACTAACGGCCTAAATAATGTAAAAAAACATGAACGAAAGCACAGCAACAAACGATAACCACTGAATTACAGGCTCCTTACTTGGGACAGTCACATCCATACATAATGTGGCGGAGTTAAACATGTTAACGGGCCGGGTCCACTTACCTAATACATTGGTGTAACAGTACGAAATAATTGATTAATATTCTAGACTGGATAATTAAATGAATTATTCTGTATTTATTAGTTGTAGTTGTTTTTAAGATAGTGTTCAGTAGCTGTGAATACTCTAAGATCGGTACATGGAGTTTATTTGGAAATACTAGTAATTGCTGTTTTTGTGCTTCGTTTTAGTCGGACGAGTCAATCCTTTTCTAATTGTTTTAATTGTGAGTAGACATGATCATTTGATAAACATACTTCTATGATCTCTATTAGCTTTAACTTGGACATTTATAAAAACTATGTAGAAAAGAGATGCATGCGTAAAATAAGTTCTCGACATAAATTGGTTAAAATTTCAGATAAGAATTTAGCCTCAAGCTATGATACTTACAAGCTATCATAAATACGACGAATATTTAGCCTCTAGCTATTATACTTATGATGATGATGATGATACTAATGTTTGTCTTATATCCAGCGACAAATATTACATATATATTAAGGATGATGACATGATAATGATAAATGATTATACCTTTTTGTACATGACCAACACTTACAGTCGCATTTTTATATGCTAGGTAAATTAGCGTACCCTATATAAAGACACACTTGTCTTTCTTCGATTAAACCAATACCTGCTCTTACTCGTGAATGCATCATGCTTGGTGGTGAAGCCGAAAAATCCAGTCTTAAAATCATTCGATCAGGGGGTCCAAAAAAATAATTGAACCCGTAATCGAGGCTAATCTGCTACCAGTCAATCCCATATTTAATAAAAACCTGTTTATATATTTCATGCTTTATGTGCATATATTACTATTCTAGCAACACTTGTTTTGTTGCATAATTTGTTTGGTTTTTCTCCTTGTTTCTTTGTTTCAAAAAGCTTAGTTTTTATTGTAAAACGGTGTTTCACAGCTTCCATTATCCTTGTGATTTGCTATTGTATTAATATCCAATAGGCATGCAATTATTATTCTAAATAGAATAAAATATTTTTTAACAAGTAAAGATTACCCCGTTTTGATTCAGACTTCCTTACAACTAGCATCTAAGATACATACACTGATAAAATATTGTACCTGCACTCATATTGCAAGCACTCTGTCTGTCCGTCCGCCAGTCTGTCCCGGTTCAACAAATATTTTCAATTTTCTCTTCAAAAGCATTAGTATGCTTAGCATGCATTCATTTTTCGATTTATCCCTTACACTCCGACATGTATATACCTGGATCCGTTTGGAGCGTCCAACTATCAAACAGAGTCCAAATGGCGTGAATTACGACTACAGTGGCTCGTGCTGTCGTCAACAATAAGCAAATACTCATACCGTATTATCAGATACTATAGTATATAAGGCATTGAATTTGAAAAATGTAAACAGTTCAAATGAAATTAAACATTTTTACAAGAGTAACCCAAAAATGACAGAAAGTAACCAACGACATCCACTGAATTGAAAGCTCCTGACTTGGGAAAGCCAAATTGAATATAGAATTTGGCCTGATTAAACGCGTTTACCAGCGCTCAACACTCTGGTGTAACAGCACAATATAAGAAGAAAAAACCCTATAAAATTCAGTTGGAAACAGCTCCACTAATCAATATT